CAAACCTTTCAAACATTTGTATGTTACATATCATAATGCAAGTACTCAACCCTGAACACAATTACACACATTCAACACTCACCTTGACGATGCATCAACTTTTTAATTGTAGGAGAATTTGGTCTAGGAAAGATATCAAGACCACTACCCCCCATTTGTAAATGAGGCACATTATAGACACTACAAGATTCCCTGGAATTAACAGGGATACTCCCCGACTCAGATGGATTGGATGATCGACCAGAACTGCTCGGAGGCTCCACTTCTTGCAGGCAACACTACAAGAAAAAAGCGGAATGGTATCACTGCTACACATTACCCGAAAAGGCTTAATTCCTGTGACAGTAGCTCAGCTGGTCAAATGATGGCCTTTCATGGACTCCAAAAGGTTCATTACTGCATTCACAAGAACATGCGTTGATGGTACATAATCTGAGCTACTGAAAAAGCATCATTAAATAAACTATAAATAAATATGCAACTGGTTCCCGCTCTCAGTCAATTAAATAAAGTCCACATTTCACAACATATTTCATAACATATTCCCTTCAGATCCATTTTAAATTTATCTTCCCATCCATGCTTACGTCTTCCAAACGGCCTTCAGGTTTCTGACTAAAATACATAAAAACTAAAATGTATGATTTACAAACTATAACAATCTGACGTACCTCTGGTTCTAATGGGAATGCTGAAGGTTGCTGGTCCTTGAGGTTTGATTCTAAGACTATTTCTGCTTGGACGCAGGCTTGTCGGAAGCTATGATACTCATCCACCTTGCGTGCACAAGTTTTGCACACACTTTTTGGCAAGGCATCTTCCCTCTCTAACTAGATAACAAATAAAACATTTACAATCAACAAAAATTATCATGCTGTAAGTAAGGAAGGCCCATAACACTACTTTGTCAATCAGCAAACTCGGTAATATGGAATAACAGCATGAAAAACGTAGTCAGGTCAAGAAATATTATGGAATGTCAGGGCGAAAATTTCAGGTATCAAAAGCTTTATGGGCAAACTTGCAAGAATAGGGAAAAAATCATAAAAATCACTCCAATAAGCATGGTAATTACCACAAAAGTATAAAAAAAGGTGGAAATCGGAGGACATTAAACAACCAGCCATTTTATCATGGCTGCCTTTCCAAAAGTCAAGCCAACCTTCCGCATTCACTCAACTTTCACCTGTCACATCCCATTCCACAGACATTTTAAGTATAACAGAGGAAAACTATACTCTTAGGGCTAAACATGTCTTCTTTTACATTCTTCAAGAAATATGTCATAAAAAATCACAACTTAATTGAGTCCACCTATACTATTTGAAATTCCTAATAGCAATGAACAAACCATAACATAGATCTAACATTTTATAGTAAATTCTATGACAGTTCATAAAGACTGCACTTCAAGGTCTAATATTTGTGGATTTTAACCTGAACCTGAAGTTCAATATTATTGTATTGTTTGATCTGTTGGCAAAAACTGCAAAATATATCATGGAACTTTAAATCCTAGTACGATAAAATTATTTTAAAAACACATGAAAATAAAAGCACTGCGCAAAAGCAAAAGGAAGTACCTTATTGAATCACTAATTAAAGCATCCCTTCTACTGGTCAATGTTTTAACCCATTTATTTTTGAATCTATAAATCAAGATATCACAAGATATTCGTAAAAGTGGGTCACAATGTTAGAAACACATTTGAAGTACAAACAAATCAGTAGCAAGTGCACCAAAGAAGCTTCATCTATGTTGCAAAGAGCCACTCATCAAAATGACCATCACAAGTATGTGACATTATCAAGAAAGCATGTACTCAATACAAAATAAGAAAAATCTTGGAATGGAAAAAAATTGTATAAACTTAAGAAATATGATAGTGAAATTCCTTAACACAAAAGACATAACAGTTTGGAAAACTAATAAAATTCTATGTCTGAAGAATGTGAATCACTCAAAATTTTATAAACTACACTGAATACATGAGTTCAAAAATAACTATGAAGTCACTTCAGGTATTCTGGATATATTCCATTCCACTCTGATGAGTACAATATAATATACTGCTGTCTATTACAGTCCATCACTCATCAACTTGCTGGTTAATGTACCAAACATACTGTTAATTCTGTTGATTCCCCACCCACTTCACCAAAGCATTCTATTAAAAGGAATGTTAGGATTATCTTGGAAGAACAGGTTGATAAAATGGAAGGAGTACAGTATTATCTCAGGATCTGTGTAATGACAAGCTTTGATATTGGCTGTGCTGATCCTTTGAGTTCTAAGGACACTGTATTTTGTTAGGTTAGATTAAGCTCAGATCAGTTTCTCTTTTATCATATACTGATATTTATAGCTTTATCTCTTGTGGTGTTGTGGGAATTAACACCACACTATACATTTTACCAATAAATTAACAAAGCTTTTTCATTAGAACAAGTAATTACTGATTCCTTGCATAAAAGCTGAACTTTCACGAATACATTGCAATAACTTAATTTCTCCACACATAACCAACATTTTTTTCATCTGACCTTCTAAAACAGTACCAATATTGGAACACTTAAACGTTACTCCAGTTCCACATAAGAACAACACTCCCAATACTGTATTACAATTCAATGCTAATTCCACCGAGTCTTCACTCCTCACACCGAATAAATCACTGATATGAATTTTAAAACACTAACTTAGCCCAGTTCAAATGTAATTCGTACAAGGGTCGTCACGCCCAAACTAGGCCTCTACGGGCTCTCAATTTCGAATGGAAAATAAGTACATTGACTCAAATTTTGCAGTCAAATAAAATTGAGAGGAAAATAAATTAAAGTTTCATGGTTACTTACTGAGACTGGAAGACATTCCTTAATTTTGCTAGCTAAATTTTGACATTCACCCTCCGGACCAAAAATTTGTATGTGACCTTCTTCCGTTGATGTGCACAATCGACATTGCATATCAAATTCTCTCTCTCTCATTTTAGACATTGCAAATTACCCATTAATAAAACTTAATGCAAGTGAAAATAAGATAATCCGTTTCTGAATAATGCAAATACAATAAACATTCAGCGTGAAAATGGGCGTAACTGAAAGCGAATGTACATTGCAACGTAAACAAGCACAATTTATGACGCCATCTTGAAGTTTACCGAGCTGAACATCGATAAGCGTAGGGTATACTCCGGAAAAAATATCGATATTATGCTATCTAAGGGGGAAATGAGGGTAACTGCGCATTAATTTCAAATCTTTCCCCTGTAAAGTATTTCAAATATTGGGGAAAAGTTAAGATACTTATCATTAGATTGCAATTAATAATATGTCACAGATAAATAAAAAGTACGATCAACAAGTGTCAGGAATGAAAATGCGGAAACAAAATCAATTTCACCGAAACTCATACTGCCACGGCAAAAGTCGAAATGGGTTTGTAAACATACAGCGGTGTGTTCCATTGACAATTGTAGCTCATTATTTCGTTCTTACCTCACGATGGATCATTGTCTTAGTTCAGCCTCTGACGAAATCTGCAATCTTTGGGCAGACGGCATCAATCTATAGACACCTCTAATTGGTTCCTATCATGAAGCAGATGAATCAACTTTGTACCACCTTTCCCTCTTTCAAAAGTGGTTCTCTGTTTAGGTCTGGCCGTAGATGACAATGATCTTGTATACAGATGTTCCAGGACCATATGCCATAACTTCAGGAAGTCATTCTTGAGGCCATTAATTCACATACCCTGGACTTGGGAGTATTGTTGACTTTCACTGCTCTTGTAAATATTTTAAACGCGCCCCCCCCCCCCCTTCAACTTTGATACACACCCTGATTCACAACAGAATGTGAAAAGTGTCTTATTCTCAGATGCATCTGGCCAGATCTGAAATCGATTAAATAAGCCCCCATGCATGTCAACCTTGCAACAAAGACTTCGTGCACCACCACACATGCAAGTCAAGAGATGCATAGTTCAAGCATGTCACAAATATACAGTGTCTTCATTAATAAACCAGAATACAACTGTCACTTCACCACCAAGCATGTATACATATATTAATCTATGCCCTTTAAGTATGTTGGTATTTGAAAACAAAACATAATGCACGTTGAGTAAAACAATCAATGATGATGTATATGTTTATTATGAAGTCTGTTTATGAAAGATAAGATACTGCCTTTTTATAACTATAATGTCTAAATATAGTTGCATATAAAATTTCACTACACACACCTGAAACCTTCTGGAAGCACAACAGTTGCAGAACACTGCTTCAGAGTATGCCTTTCCAACCATGGTATTTTCTTTCTTGTTTTTTCCCATGTACCTCTGCCTCCAAAAAGAAAGACAAGTGTATTAGCATTGTAAGTAGAAGTGTGATGAGAGAAAATATAATACATACTTCATTAAAAGGGTACATACATATGTTTATCAGAGTCCAGAACATTTGTAAATTTTGCTCTTCACAGTCACCTGAGAACTGTATGCCTCATCAACATGGGGGTGTGCCTGCAAACCTTGAACTTTCACCATCCCTTTTTGGAATGATAATCTATTCTGAAAAATTAGAATACAGAAAAATCTAACTCTCAAGTTACACGGGGGTATAAAATTCGAATCCCTCTTACAGGGAGATATGTAAGTTAAGAAGACTGATTTGAAGACCATGAAAAGTGAATGTCAAATGTAAGAAGACATAAAATTGTAAAACATTGATCAGGTTCATTATTTCACTATAAATAGTATATAAAATTAGGGATATATGACTGGTATTCTTAAACTTGAGTCCACTCAGACATGCCTACTTTTTATAAACTCATTTGCAGAGCCATTTTCTGATTCTTTTCCAGACGACAAGTGTCTTACAACTGAAAATCATGAGCGGAATGTGTAATTTCTCTTTTTCTTAGGGGAAAAAAAAGGTAGTGTTGAGTTAACTTAAAAAATAAACAGTGGCATGTCATAAGCAAATGTGCCATCTTTTTCTTTTCATCAGTCTGTCCTAAGCATCTTTTAGGGTGTTTGTGTCTTAATGCTGGAACCACATAAGGTACAAAGACAAGAATAATGCAGATATACACCTTACTGCACAATAACGTTACAGTACTCTGACCACATTTTATTTTTCCACTTCTGCTGCTTTCATTGATGATTACTGAATTAAATTAATGTTATGATTTTTTTCACTTCTTCAGTCTTACACAACTGTTACATACTTCTGATATATTACTGTAAAGTGAAAAATATGTACAAAACAAATACAAATCTGAAGAAGGTACTTCAGGGACAAATACGTCATTGCAACAAGCGTAAAATTGTTATAACAGATCAGAATGAAATTAAATACATATAATTTAACTGCAGTACCCATGTTGGCTATCTCTGAAATTCAGAACTATATATTTTTGTATAAAATATGTGACAAGTTCTAGAAACACTGTTCTAATTCAAAATCAAATTTACTATCACATTACAATTGATGTTGCTGTTATTGTTATAATTATTGCAGTCATCATCACAATTATAACACATCACATGCATTACCTTTTCATAATCATCAAGTTTTATTAACTTTCACCACTGAGGAACTAGAAATTCTGACTGATATACACATTATAAATAGCAGCTATACTTTTTGAGGTTATAAGAAAACCATGTTCCTTTAACTCACCAGCAGAGAGCAGTGTGTGATATGAAATGCTTAATATGTAAGCTGCATGAATAGCTTAAGACGTCTGGCTGCAATGGATAACTCAAGCCGGGCATCACAGCATGAAAGTTCTTACAGAGCAGAAGGAACAGGGACTTACAAGAAGTAAATGTAACAGAGCGAAACTCTTAGGTCAATGCTACTGATACAGCATCTGAGCTATATTCTACTTTAACCTCATTAGATCTACATATACAAAAACAAAAAGTACATTATTTTATTTCAATTTTGTGATCTCTGAACATATTGTAATGTAGATAAGGATTTTTTTTCAAAACACTTTATAATGTGGGAATTTTCTGCATATAAACAACTTCATTCTCTACTCTGCTCAAATGTTTTGTACTCTATAACACCTGAATTTTTAATTTCCACCCATTGTAGAGTTTGTATGTCAACTGAAAAGTCTGAATCTGAGTCTGTAACTTCTACTTCTGTAGCCACAAAATTTTAACTCTATGAGCTAGCTTGGCACAATATATTTAGCGCACAATTTTAAATTTGAGTAAATTTTGAATAACACAGGAAGTGGTTAAACTATGTGCATATGTCATAATATACATCCATATATAACAATAAGATTATCTATAAATTTCTAAATTAGCACCACATTCTTTTTTCCTCTAGAATTACACACAAATTATGTAAGGTGTAGCACCTTAACACATTCGCTAACACCAGGAGCTGATGTATTTTTAAAGATTACTGTTGGCTGCAATGAACCTGAGAGTAGTTGTACTACTATATTTTAATTTTCTTCAAAGGAACCATAAAAATTATCCATTATGCACATGTGCATCAATAGCACTGAAAAAAATGGGATTTCAGTCTAACTGAGGAAGCCAATCACTGCTAAAGTGGCATTACGCACTGTGTTAGAGTAACAAGTACCTTCAAATTCTCCAAAATTTAGTCACAATAAAAAATAGTGTCTTCATTGTTAAAAAAGTTCAAAATTTCTGGGCAAGCTGTGGTAGTTTTGGTTGCAATGGACCTACAGCTGAGTTACAGGAACCATAAATTTTATCTCCTATGATTTCTAGACCTATAAAGACACTGCAGTTAAAACCAAATTTACACACAGAACTTAATCCTGAATTTGAGTACCAATGTAATAAGAAAAAAATTAACAACAGTACTGACCAAATCAGACAGGAAGGCCACTCAGATTACAATGATGCACATACGCACCACTAGAACCTGGTGCAGGAACTGCATAACATACACGTGCATCAAGTGACATTGAAAGAGTTTAACAATAGATCAACCTTGTTTCTTAAACACAGAGACAATGAAAGTTAAAAATCTAGTGTTAGTTAAGTGAAACCAAACAGTTCTGTCAGATATCAGCTTTGTACAGACCATCAGATTAACAATATTTAATTTATCTACACATTATGAAGATAAGTTCAAGGGTCCAATGTTTCAGGATGGTGATTTTTAATATGATTTGCACACTGAGCTGACTGCCTGAATCCTTTGCCACACACTTGGCATAAGAATGGAAGTTCACCGGTATGAATTCTTCTATGCCTTATAACATCACTACTCTTTGTAAACCCTCGTCCACATACGTCACAATTGAATGGCTTCTCCCCTGTATGAGAACGTCTATGAACATTCAAGTGACTACTTTGGGCATAAGCTTCCCCACACACTTCACACACAAACGGACGCTCGCCTGTATGCTTTCGAATGTGCTTCTTCAGGTCCCCTCGTCCATAAAATGCAAGACTGCACTCTGGGCACGGGAAAGGCTTATACGCTCCATGTGTCTTTGTGTGCTGCTTCAGGGAAGCTCTTTGAGCAAATGCCCTTCCACATTCTGAACATGGGTATGGTTTCATACCAGAATGTATATTGAGGTGGTCACGCAGCAAACACCTAAACGCAAAACGGCGTCCACAAATATCACAGACATAATTTTTCTCCTGAAGTTGCATTCTGAACTTTGCAGCTAAAGCTCCACCATCAGCTAGATGAACAAACATTCTGTGAGTTTTCAATGAATCTGATCTTTTGAATGACTTGCCACATAATTCGCAAATAAAAGCTTGTGGAGTTTCCATCTTCTTCTTGTATTTCTTCTGTTCGGCTGATACGGCAACACTTGCATTTTCTGGCTTGGAATGAATCTTCATGTGAGTCATAAAATTATGAAACTCGTAAGCTACCTTACCACATTTCTGACACTCAAACATCCCGTCAGATTTTCGTCTATGCATCTCGTTTCTGTGGCGAACAACATCTCTTCTATAGTCAAACACAGCTTGACAAATTTTACAAACAAATGGCGTCTTCAACCCATGCCGTTTTATTTTATGTAGGCGCATGTTACCTTTAGAACTTAAAGTTTTTCCACAGACATCACACTGGTGAGGGCGTGATTTTGGTCGGACTTTACCCTTACAATTGCTTTCACCTACGCTGCTTTTATTCTGGTGAGATCTACAAGCACCTTCACTATCCATTTCTGCATACCTAACATGCTGAACTTCATTACAAATACCAACATGCACATTTTCAATGTTAGATTTATTATTGATTATTATGTCACTATTTCCTCTTTGTTCAGAATTTTCTTCTTCTCTTCTAGCTATGTTATCATTAGGAAACCTTGGCTCACCCTCACATGTCACTGGAAAATCTTCTTGGAGTTCAATTTTCACTGGAATACTTGCGAAGGCTGACTCACAAAAATCCATGAAATCTTCATCCACTTCTTGTTTGATCTAAGGATGATAAATTGAGAATCCAAGGCAAGACAGAAAGAGAATGGGGGGGGGGGAAGGAAAAAGTAAGAAAATACACTGTTAAAATATACACACAGCACTTATTTTATTTCTGGGTACGTTCAAGGATGTCCAATGACGCACAGCCCGCTATGAACATGTCCAGTTCATTTTGCAGCTTCTTTCTGCAATACATGGGACCTACTGCACGCCAAAAGAGAGGTGTAAAATTTGCTTCTCAACCTTTAAACACAAAATTTAAATTTAAATGCCAACACAAATATTTTACATCTTCAATTCTTTTAAAACTTCAAAGACAGTATCGAATATAATACCTCAAAAGTATTAATAATTTTGTAATTTTGCCTTCAGTATTTCAATAAATTTTGAACAGCTGAAAATTCCCCAAGTAACACACTACAATCTTAATTCACCTGAATTTGAGAAAGATTCAAAATTTTTTAGTTATTTCTTTAAATTGTGCAAAAAAAAAAACAAATATTTAAATTTACATAATATTTATTATTGTATTCTCAATACACAAATCTGCAGAAAAGCAGAATATATTATTTGTAATGCCTGAGACTAAGCACTAAAGTTCACAGAATACTTATGCCAGGAAAACTCTCAATTTTGCACCAAAACATTAAGTTCTGAAAAAGAAAACCAGCAGTTTTTTATGAATATAAACTGCAATTTGAATCAATCCACTGTTCTTTCATGACTACAAGGGAAACTGTTTCTGGCAACTACTGAATCGGAATGAAATACTAATTGAAAAATAACTACTGACGAGGACATTCAATCATTCCTTTTCTAAAAAAACAATAAAACTGAACAATATTCCATTAAAAATGTGTACACATTTATAATTTCAATACTATTATTATAAATGTCTACCAATAACAGATGAACGTCACAGTAAACTTAGTGCCTTCCAGATAACAAGTGAAGGTCCATTTAGAAATTTCACTGGAAGTTTTATATATCCACATTTACGAAAACCACCTCTTGAAATTAGAAGTCTGTATATGTACATACACACATATTTTTGGAAATTATAATATAAACATTATTCCAAATTGTATAGCGAATATGCCAAAAGCGTGGAAGAGCATTTGCAGGTGCACTTAATCTATGGTGGTCCAACTGTTCACAGGGCCTCTGTACATTAAAGATGACAAAATTTATAATGAAACTCATAGTGAACACTCGTTTAAGTTCATTTACTGATGGATATGAGTTGGCCCCAAGGGAATTCAGTCAGTCCGATACTCTGCATGAGAAAACATGATAACAAATACAAGAGAGCCAAGAAAAAGGAAAGACAGTTGCTCTCACATATCAACTAACTGGATAACAACATGCAACTGTTAATTTTTATTATTTTACTGCTATTTCATATTTAAGTTTCACGCTCTTTAACAACTTACAATCATGTCCTGTGGTCGTTTTAATTCTCCAAGAGCGTTATTCCTCCTTACATATTTTATCAAAAGCATGTTATGAGTCAGCCAATATTCTTGAGCAGTATTTCACATTTTTAACCTGCAGCACACTCGAACTTGTCAAAGACACATGACGGCATACAGTCAGCGACACGTTCCGGCCACACTTTACCCCGGGAAAGGAGTGCAAATGTCAAATTTCTTACAAAAAAAACTGTCACACACACCTGTAACTTTGTTACAGCATGCGAGTGTGCCACGATATACCAGTAGCAGAAAACTGTTCTAGACTGACATGCAGCTGTACAGCTGCTGGTGTTACAAAGCCAAGAAACAAGTAAGTGTGGAAAATATATTCTGAAATCTGCCAGTGCGGAGAACAGTTTCGAAGTGCACTTTTATAATTTTGCCTTCTTCGGAGGTGTCAGTATTCTTTTTACTGCGTGTACAAATTAAATGTTGACAGTGAAGATACTACACTACACAGTAAAGTTGTAAATTCTATCACTCACATAATGGAAGATGCAACACATGACTAGATCTTTAAATATGCCTTGCCGTATCTCAGATAAAACGGAGACAGACAACATATACAGCATTCAGCTTTTAAAAAAACCCTTGCAAACAACTGTAAATTATAACAAACACTATAAATTTTTAAAAAATGAAACTGGTTTACACAACTAACAATATCTTTGTATCATGTACTAGAAAAGTCAGCCTTTTTACATGAAGTTACGCCTCCTCAAAACACCTGAAATATCTCATTCTGTTTTCATGAAATTAAAAGGAACAGGAATGGAGAGTTTTATTTATTTTGGTTCTCACTTACATGTAATATTAACCATGTCCCACTCAGAACTTAAATCTTTTACTGCAAAGTAAAAAATACCAAAATATTATAATTTTAAGAAATTTGGTTCAACAAAATCAAATTTTCCCTAATAATATTAACCATATTACCCATATATCCATTCAACCAAAATGTACTTTATTTTAAAAGTACAATTTTTATTTTAAAACACAAATACAAATAAATACTATCAACATATTTGCTCATTCATAGTAACGTTCTGACTGAATTCTTCAATTCTCCATGTTCAATTAAAGGGGGCCACGGTAAACGGATTTTACTACATTTGTCTCGTGTCCCTTTAATGCCAGTTAGAAAGACTGTAAAATTAGGTACAAAATGTGTACCATAATATCAGTAGTACTCTTTATGAATATGGGTCTAGAGACTGGAGTTCAATGTATGTGGTAGGATTTACCCATTCTGTGCCCAACCTATCTCCACCTGTGGGAACACTTAGAGGGTCGTTAACATTTTGGTCGCACCTCAGATCAGTCCGCTCCGCCAAATCCATCTGCAATAAACAGTACAGGAATAAGAGCACGATATCCATAAAATGTGGCTGACCACGTCTGTCTGCACAATTGAAATGAAGAACAGCTGGACGAATACAGATAAAATTTGGTATCAATGTTATGCTACTGGGAACTAAGCTAAAAATCATACTTTTCAATTTCCTACAATTAGTAATACCAACATGGCAGATAAACAATCTTTTGAGGTGGAAGAAACACTTGAAACAGGGTCATACAATGATGTAAGGTTACAGATTTTCAGAAAATACAAAATTTGGTGAAAGTAATTCTTTGTATAATGTAAAATAACAACAACACGGCAGCTGCATGAAAAAAAAAATCCATTAACATTCAAACGTGTGTCCCACACTTAAAGGGTACAGAACATTACCGCAGAGTTAACACACCTTATAATGTATGAAGTAACAAATTATATATTAATTACTACTCCCTGCTTAAATCTTTAAAGTCCAGTGGTAATTATACTTACCACCTGATTCAGTAATCAATAAATATCCATTTCTGCCCACAGAATGTGTTTACAGGTTTTGAACAATGACTATTTCCCTAACAGTGTTAACCAACTGGTCTTCATGATTAAGAATTGTTGTTTCTATCTTAGATATGGACTTAATTTTTAAATAATATTAAAATAAGCATTGGTTTCAAAGAGTTAAATTATTCCTTAAAAGGTACTAACTGCTTAACAAACACCATGAAACAGAGACTGTGTTAAGAAGCTAACAGTCACTCAACTGGTCAAAAGATTCTCTACCCTAAGGTTCATTATTGCATTCATAGCAGCCTACCGCTGGTCCACATCCTAAGTCATGAATCTTTCCACTCTTTGTTTTTATGACTTACAAAATGGGCGAGACCTATCCTTGACGCTGCTGCAGTGCACATGCTTGTAAAACCTTGCTTCTTGCCTAACATCTTCGCCCTCCTCTCCCTTGCCTTCTGAGCTTCCAGGGACCTGCGTATTGCCTTTTCTGCCTCTGACTCTTTTGCTCTTCTCTCTCGTTTCAAGACAGCATCTCTGTGCCTTTGCTGAGCTATTTGTTCAGGTGTTAAACGAGCTCTTCGTTCTCGAGCGCGCTGCGCGTCTCTCATCCGACGAGCTAGAAACAAATTACAAGTTTATACAGAAACAGAAGTCTTCTTATTAACCACGTTCTCAGCTTGCAGCCACAGATGATCTGTAAGAACGCCAACAGTCTTCATGTTTATAAGACGGGCACTTCAATCGCCTCTCCCAGTTTGAAGGGAAAGGAGGCCTAACTCAAAATCTAGATAATGATTTTTGGACTGCGGAACATTTCTCTGTGCTCTGGCACGTAGGAGTTTACATGTGATCAGATTTCTGTTTCATTAATTCCACAATTCCAATAAATGCCCTTCAGACATTTCATATGAGTATATTACCACAGCCAACAATGTTAAGTTTTACAATGTCAAGTGCTAAAATCTGCAACCTACATTTCACCGGATCCCCGCATTTCATAAATCCATCACAGTTTTAAAAATCATTACAACCACATGTATTAACAAATCACATCAATTAATAAATTTCTAATATATTCGCTTCTTTTTGGTGACAGTTAACAATCACCAGTGTCACTCCAGACCATCCAACCACGACAATAAATTTTGGACATTCACCTTGCTATTCAACAGCTATTTCTAATATCAAATACGGATTCTCAAATGATTTAACTACTACTGCAATTAAAAATTATAATTAACAACCATACCATTCAAATTTTGTACATCTCTGTATATGCCAAACATACACTGTACATATTTTTACAAACTGCCAAGTGCACTTTCAATTACAATAAGGAATATTGTTATTCATTAATATTTTATCCACTGTATAAGAGAAATATTGTAAATTACAACTTACATAAACAGATATGACTACAATTTATTTTGCTCTTCTACCTGCAATCTCTTCAGGAGACTGATTCGCTCTCCTCTCCCTAGCTTTCTGAGCTTCTAAGAGTCGTTGCCTTTTCTTCATATCCTCCAATTTCTCACCGTCCAGCTGTGAGTCTTCTGGTAGCACCTTCTTTGTCCTAGGCATTGGCTCAAGCTACTTTTTTCTCCTCATTGTACTACAATACACTGCAACATAAACACAAATGAGAAGGTTCGTGTTGCAGGAACCTGTATTCAAGAGGGATGCAGCTTGAATCTCAGATGGGTTACTGCAGGAACCTGTATTCAAGAGGGATGCAGTTTGAATCTCAGCTGGGTTACTAGTTATTGTAACTAATTTTCCTGTCCCTGAAGGCGAATTCTAAAATAATACCTTCAAATAGACTACGATAATTGCGTATAAAATTCTTACCTAATCATCATTCATCATCAGTTTTCAGTCTTATCTTATATATCCTCTGCAAGTAAGTTAAAAACACTAAATATCCTCAAAATCAACTGAGAAAAATGCTTGCATTATTAAGCACAAAGCTTTTGATCTCTGTATTATGCAAGGGTTAAATACAGTCTATCATGAATAAGAAATTAACAAGAAATTCTGTATATTTAATAGTATACAACACACCACACTGTCATGAATGATGGAATGAAATATAGTAAGAATTCTGGATAGATCTCCCAGCGCTGCTCTGTCATCACAGAAATCATATGAAGATGGTGAGCCATGAACTCGTGTCTACTTTGTTTGTGGTACACACACGGGCCACATGACCACTTTAAAGCCACATGCCTGCCACATTCTTATGATATAATTTTCCACGGAAAAATGGAGTTTATGGTTGTTGATGTAAAGGAAGTTCCAAGTGTAACCTAGGAACAGCCTGGGTGTAGGTAATACTCTCAGCTTGACATGAATTTTCAAGACACCAAGTTGGAATCCTGGCAACATTACAGACTATTCTGATGTTTTTCATGGTCTTTCTCAGTCTCTCCAGTTAAATAATACAATAGTTCCTTCAAATATGGCATGGAAACAGTCTAATCCTTCATGACAGAATATTTATTCGGACTGGACAGTGATACATTCCACACAAACATGTAAGTTTGCTGTGCTCAAAACATGATCTTACCAGACCTCGGATTCTTGCCATCTAGACCTTGTATCGAAGTGCTGAGGATTGACAATTCAGACATTTCATTTACCTCCTGTAATGGGAAATAATTAAAACAAATAACAATATTAAATAAATAAATAATAACAGTAATTAAATACTAAATATTCAAATATGCACTAATCCAATAATAAAATTAATCATCTTGACTTAACCTTACTATTACATTCAGAAAATATATACTGCTAAACATCATTTTGCATGGATTCATCCTAATAACAACATTGATATCTTAATATTACTCAATCTGTAGTGTCATACCAAAAGGGAGAAAATAAACAGAAAATCAGACAGAATTTAAAGAGGCAAATTAACAAATAACAGAATAAGATGTCACAGAAACATTTCTAAAATCCCAAAGGTAGTTTTGAACATGAAATTACACCAAAAAGTTGGTAACTGGATCGTCTGTGCTATGCCACGACCAAGTTACTGCACTTATTCATTTACGTAGCTACAGAACTTCTGATTGGCATTTAATCAGAAACCTATATCGCATTAAATTGGCTGGTTCACTGACTGAAGTTGAGTTTCTGTACAGTAAATGTGACGAAGAGCACGAACGTCTTTGCAAAAATTAAAAATCATAACTCAGATCCGCATTTTCCGAAGCAAGAACGTGAACAGATTAACTATAACTAAATTTTTCATCAGAGGTCCAAGTATTAAAATGTCAATTATAACGTAGTAAGAGGAAAAAATAAGCAAACGTTGACTTTTCTTTGTTTACATAGTTGAATCTACTTATATCTGCGTATATAATTAGGAATACGTAAACTTCAACAGTACCTTTTAACCTACGATACAAATTCTGCTTATGCAATACTCCTCCGCTCATCCATTCCTACCAAGCACTGGCAAACATTATGAAACTATTAGTCCACATATTTATTTTTTCACAGATTCCTTCTTGTGCATTAGCTACCCACTTTGAAATATTAAAACATTAAAATATAAACTAGATTATTTTCTTCACATTGATCATCACCACATACCGTCCAACACACGAATGTGTCGAAACAAGGCATACAAAAATAAATATATATTATATAATGTGAAGTGGGCACAAACGTACATGCTTCGTTGTCTTCAATCAACGATATTTTACAGGTTATGATGGGGTACCTACCTCACAATGAATTAACACCGTTCACATCGCATACTAGTAATAACATGCACCTCATGCTATTTTTGACGTAAGACCCGTCATCTATGTATCATTGGGACAATCACAACCATAGTGGCACTGTTATAGCAGAGACCGATCGGTAACACAGAAACCTACTACTCAAATTTTTAAATTATGGTAATTTAAAAAATATTCCAAACACACTTCACATTCTGCATATTTTAATTTCTGATGTGTGGCAGTACGTATACCTAATTCCACTGAAATCGAATAAGATTAAAAACTGCATTTCAGTGTATTGAAGTAATATGGAATGACTCCATGCCTGATCGGGCATTTCCATTGTTCTGTCAGGGTTAATGTCCTCCCACTGCTTTAACCACTTTTATTGGGGAGTCTTTGTAATCAATCCTCCTTCTATTGTACTGATTTCCTTCTTTGCTTTTCTCAGTATGACTTGTTTTTTTTATATATATATATTTTTTTTAAATCTGCCACGTACAGTCTGTGATCACTATCAAAACTGACACTAGGTATAACCATAATATCCCTTAACATTTTTAATTCCTTTGTAAGAGTAATGCAATCTCTTTAATAATATCACCATATTTTAATTCAAGAAAATGCTCCACTAATTACCAACAACTTTATTAAAATACTTTGTAGCTGAAATTTTACATATATAAAATTAGGAAATTTTAAAAATAACATGCACCTCATTTTCAAACATAAAATTTAAGGGTTAATACAAGTGTTAAAACATAATGCTTTCTTATACATGCCTCATAATTCACAAAAACAAGAACACCATTAAGACATCACTGCAAAGTTCATAAAATTTGGGACAACGAGGACAATCTGTCTGTTGACTTTATCAAAAAATATACCAAAATAAACTACAGATTTTAATGAAAATTAAATACTGCATCCAAAGAGCATAACATATGCATTTCTTCTCCTTCATGATAATGCTCGGCCTCACACGAACCCATGCACGCATACATACCTTAGTCAATCACAGTGACGAAACGTACCATTACTCCTCATAAAGCACACAACCCAAATCTTGCAACATTTCATTAGCCCACTAAAAATAGATTACATGGGAAACAATTTAAAGATGACAACACAATGATCACGTCTGTAATTGGTTCTGATGCTGTAACAACACATTTACTACATACACAATGCTAATGTATGCACTTATATCACAATATTAATCTAGAATCATTCAGTGTTCAAAATGTATTTTTAAAAAATTAAAAAGCATTTAAAAAATACAGTATAACCTGTTAATTGATATGTTCCAGAAGTTTAATCTTACTGTAATAAATCTAGCAGCCATTTTGGAGATAGATCCTAAAGAAAGTTGTTTTTTTTCCAGTGCTGATAGTATCAAATCTCATACATCCAATAGTACATCTGGAGAGACAAATGGACAGATAGATATTTTTCTGGGGGGGAATGCACTTGGAAACAATTTTTCTGATAAAACAAAGCCTGGCCTGATTTTGCAGACACTTATGGGAAACAAATTAAAATCGAATTATTAATATCTTACTTACCCTCAACATTCACAGAGTATGTAAGACCTGCTGGTAATATAGCAACGTTAATCTTTAGAAATAATTCCATAAGCTTTACTGAAATTGTAAGAGTAGTTTTTTTCTACAATATTAAGTGTTCTTATAATCTGATCATTTTCATCAATCGGTTTAAGTTCTGACAGGGTAGTCTTTAAGACTTTCAATACCAATGAAAAATCACACAGCAAATTATAATCTTCACCTTGCTTCAGACCATTATCATCTTGGATTGCAGTGAGTATGCCATGGTTGTAGAAATCCCACGCATATCCATTGTATGTTCTGTGGAGTTCAACAATGGGCACCACCTTCACATCTGTAAAAACCTGTCACAACCATATATAAAAAATTTCAGAAAAATTTAACAAAGATGTAGATAAGTAACCTTAAAATATCCAACAACTTTCTATCAATTTTATGATTTATTTAACAATGATGTCAGTACTATAGTACAGAATGGTAGAATGATTGCAAGGGATATCAAAAGAAGTGGTTATGGTCTAATTTAAGGTACTATCCTGACATCCGCTTGGAGGAAATGAAGAAAACCATAAAAAAAACCTGTCTCTTGGCCAAGATTTAACCTCAGACCTCTCAAAAATGTCCCACTTAATGGTACCTGCACCTTGTCGTGGTGGTGGGGCTTGAGTACCTCAGTGATCCCAAGAGTTATGCTGGCGGTAGCAGAGCTACTGGCAGGGCCTCCCTAGCCAGATTCGTCGAGGGGGAGAGGTCAGACTAAGACAGGTACCCTAGTCCTCCAGGTTGGGGGTTGCACCGTAAAAAGGAAGATGTTTCGAAATCTCAATCGAAGCCTCGGACAGACTGGACCTAACAATAGGACCGAATGGAAGAGGAGAATTGAGGAGGCCATGGACAGAATACGGACCAGAGAACCATAGAAGAAGACCTCTCAAAAATGAGTACTAACCACATTACCATGTCACTTTGTTACGACAAAATTCTAATTTCAGACGGGATTATTTACACACACACACACACACACAAAGAGAGAGAGAGAGAGAGAGAAGGGGTTGGGAAGTTTAAAAATCAAATTCAGAAAGAAATTGATCTAATTTCAAACAGTGTTTTCTTCAGTCTCAAACTTAAGAGATCTTTCAGAGAGCTATTTTTGCTTTTGCTTTTGCAGTAGCATGCAAACTAACTTATCCATCACAGCTGTAGCGATTGGCTAAACCAGCATGAATCAACTTGTAAACAAAATTTGTTTCTCCCTCTTCCTGCATATTTCTAGTTCTATATGCAACATCATTATCTTAACTCCTCTGACTATCCACTCATCTCACTATAAATCTTGCCATATCATCTGGTTGTATTGCAATATCTTGAAATTCTGGGGCATACAAACATAAGAGACTGAATAGTTTTCTATCTTAAAGTTAAATCCTAATTTTCATAAACATACAACATTAATTCTTGGACATTCACAACCTTATCTCTATTCAGAATATGACTTGGTACAGATTCAGAAGTGACCAAGGCAAAATAAGTCCTGTGAATTTGCCAAAATCTACAAACTTACATAAATTTATATACAAAACTTCAATAGAAGATGGCTGCCTTCTGGGTTACTGCACCATGTAGTCTGGTAAAAGTCTACTGATGTTTCAGAGATCCATCGCTCTGACGATGGAGGCAGCAAGGACCTCTGAAACATCGGTAAACTTCTACCAGACTACACAGTGCAACAACCCAGATGACAGCCATCTTCAGACTCACCACCATGAAAACCTCAAATCCCATAAAACTTCCATACCTGGTGGCGAATGTTAGAGATCATGTTATGATGTGAATACAGTCCCTCATCTGTATGGCCTGACAGTGCAGCAAATGCAGAACAAATTGTTCTAGGCTCACAGTTCTCTACTATCCACCTCTCAAGATTCATGGGACCTGTGACGGATAAGGAATGAAAACCAGCTTAAAAGGCAGCAACTCCAGAAATACAAAATGTGATTACAACAAAATGTCCATGGTATCTAAAGACAAATAGCACATATGGGCTCACTCACATAGCACGCTGAGCTTGGAAAATAAGAGAGACTGGAAAAACAACATACACTACAGAAGCATTCATTCTGCACCCTAATGAGTGGTGTGTCTAGCCAAATGTTCGTTTTTAGCAGCCAGCCAAACAATTCACTTGCACAACAGTCTAAATCAGTTAAATTGAAAATATGGAAAGTTTCTGCTGAATGAGACTGTTCCTTTATGTATAAATTCAATATTTTCCAAGTAGTTTAAAAAAAATCTTGGGTTATGTAACAGAGTACACAATCTGAATCTGAAAAAATCAGGTACGATTGCACAAGACATACATATTACCATCCCAGCATTTATGTAATACTTCACATTACCTTCTTCGAGTCTATAAATATAAAATGAAAGTTATATCATTACCTTTCATCATGTAACACCGTTACATACAATAATATTTATTTTAGTGAAGTTCTCGTCTTAGCTTAACACCAAGAAGCATTCACCAGGGTTCATGAACCTTTGGAAATTTGTATTTCGCTTAACTGGAGTACAAGTCAACTCTATGGTACCCAGTGATAACTACATGTACCATCTGCTTCACCATTCTGGAACTTTTCATTTTGCCCATGAAGTATATTTGTCAATTTCATAACATTCTCACAGAAAATTGTGATTATTTCCCTAAACAACATTTACCAACTGATCTTTGTACTGAAGATGTTTTGCATTAGGAATTTAATATTTAAATATAATACACATAAGCTTTGTTGTCTGTGTCTGAACTCATACTGAAGCATATCCAAAATCCATCTTCAACTTAAAATAATTCATCTAAAGGATCATGAAATTTTCCTTAACATTCATGCATAGTGCTTATTTTGTGCACCCAAAAGGTCTCTTCTGAGTCACTATAAGACATCACAAAATATTATCCATTCAGGAAAGAATATGCAACATCCTTCTCTTAAAACCAAAACTGTCAGTCTGGTCAACGTGCAGTGTTGGCCCCGTTCAGTTTAATTGTACCAGGCTCAGCTAAGCATGCAATGTGAATGAGTGTACTATGGTTATATAAAATCTTAGCTTCAACATCAACTGAACGCAATCAAATTTTATTGGATAATAAGCTGTGTAAATACATCCATTGTTTTCAGAGGCAATCTCAGTGTAAAAATATGCGATTCAGATTAAATGACAAAAATTGATATAAACTGCTAAGTCAACTTATGAGACCAAAAATAGAGTCACACAAAGTACAATAAAATGATATCACAAATGTTACATATTAAAAAATGTTGTTACCTTCTGTATATGGTTTAAAAGACTCTTTTGTCTCAATACGAACTCCTGACACTGGAAGGGTATCGTCATCTCCCATTCTCTTGGCACAATCTTTTG